GACGCGTGTGCTCGGAGAGACAATCTGTCCTCGTTCTTACACTCGGCCACTTCGTCGAATCGTGGTTACACTGGGCCACTTGTGCTCGGAGAGACAATGTCTCCCTCCGTTCTTACACTCGGCCACTTCGTCGAACCGCTTCACTCGGACAATGTCCTTTACCCGGCCGCGTTGGTCGACGCGTTTGCTCGGAGAGACAATGTCTCCCTCCTTTCTTACACTCGGACAATCCGTCGTCGAAACCGTGCTACAGTGGGCCGCGGGGGTCGACGCGTTTGCTCGGAGAGACAATCTCCTGCTTCTTACACTGGGACAATCCTTCGTCGAATCCGTGTTGCACTTGGCCGCGTGGATCGACGCGTTTGCTCGGAGAGACAAGCTCTCGTCCTTCTCACACGCGGCTACAATGCGGTTTACGCGGCCGGGTTTGCGCCGAGAGAAAATGTCTCCTTATACTCGAATGCGTATGCGCATGCTATATTTGTGCTGCACTATACCCTTTGAATGCACGTGCGCATGTTGTAATAATTAACTTCACATAAAGGAGAATACGACCCCTTCATATTATTCATTTAAATGTACATGTTATATGCATGTGACCTGTACCACCGTGTGCCCATGGTCATGCTAAAAGAAGTTCACTAGATAACAAGAACAAAACAAGGCAAAAGTAAACAGAAAGAAACAGAAGGAAGCAGAAGAGAGCAGAAAAAAAAAGGAAGGTATGTAATAGTGCAAACTAGAAGTATAATGTGTATGTCGAATAAGGGGGAACAGGTATCTGCTGTTATCATGTGTCCCCATCTACATTGCTGCATACCCCGCACTGCATCCGAATGTCAGAGCTTTTGCAATAGGTCATCCACATATAACTCCCTATCCTGCAAACTGCGTTCGACTTCGCACTGTTCTATGACTAATGCCAGGATCAGTATCCATGTTTGAGCGGTTAACGATTTTTTCATGTAAGGTTGCTGAGGCAGTGGTTGTGACCGTGGTACATCGCTCACTTGTAGCAAGTCTTCTGCGGCCATTACTTTGTCCACTTCTAAGTCTTTTTCGACTACTGATACTTCGCCTTTTTCCGACACTGTCGCCTCCTGTACATTATGCAACAAATGTTTGAACCACGCCTCTTCCTTGTATGTACTCATTTTCCGATGTTGCTGTTCGACCCATTGTTTCCATGCATGCAGTTTCTTCATCACTGCGGATGGGATGTTGGCGTGCTCACCTAGTTCACTGTGCCCGTGGGCCTCCGTTTGCCGCCATGTGCTCACGCTGATATTGTTTCCAATCCGCTTTTAATTGCAAAAACCACGGCTGCGTCGTGCACGCCTGCAATAGGTGCTTGTTGCGGTCAATCCAAGGGATCCACTTAGTGCGGTCTAATGCCGGCATGTCATTCCCGGGGTCGGAAGAGTATGCGAGGGGAGAAGGAGTGTGTTCGTGTTCTAACTGTATGGTTTCCATACAACTCCATGGATCGTAGTCCTCGTCGTTAGAAGCAGAAGGGTCCGTTGCTAACTGTATGTTTTCCATACAACTCCATGGATCGGGGTCCTGTTCGTTAGGTGGAGAAGTGTCCGTGGCGAAGTGTATAGTTTCCATACAACTCCATGGATCGGGGTCGTGTGCATGCGGTGGACAATGGTCCGTTTCTAACTGTATAGTTTCCATACACCTCCATGCATCGGGGTCGTCTGCATTCGGTGGAGAACGGGCCCTTTGTAACTGTATGTTTTCCATACAACTCCATGGGTCGTCGTCGGTCGGTGGACAAGGGTCCGTTGGTAACTGTATGTTTTTGATACAATTCCATCGGTCCTCTTCGTTAGGTGGACAAGTGTCCGTTCCGTCGGAATACGTGGGTGGATCCCGCGTTGGTGAAGCGGCGTTTGTTGTTGAGTCCTGGGTTGCTAAACCGTCGTCTGGGGTACAGACATCCGAGCTACTTGTACACGTGTTGTTGCCCCCCATAAACTGTTCAACGAGTATTTGCAAATAATCGTCTTTGACGTTTTCCCATTCGGCCGCGTCACATTCGTTGAGCACTTCTAAATGGAGCTCGATAATCGTGCGCGTGCGCACGCGTGGAGGACGTCGTCGTCGGCGTGCGGCGGGCAATCTGCAGGGCTGCCTATCCCTAACCATGGTGTACCCGTAAACGGGTGGTGGCAGGTGGCCGCGTTGTAAATGCTGCAATATTTCTTCGTCGAGTGGCGGTGACGGCACGTCACGAACGGTTCGATATGTGCGTCGTCGTTTGTGGCCGAGGTGCGCAAAGTACTAAGCAGAAAAAGGGGGGTAAAGAGGAGGGTGAGGACGGTAGCATAAACGAAATGAACACGGGTGTAGCAGTATATTGATTAGAACGATCATATATTGGAGCCGGTTGGGATGTGCTGAGGTATAAACATCCGGCACATGCGGGATGCCATCATTGTGGTATATACTTACCTTCCATAGGAAGAACGCAATGACCCCAATACCAACCATCGCGGGAATAAGCGCGGGGGTGTACGGCGTGACATCTGCCCATGTGAGGCCGGGCGGAACGGATGGGGTGGTAGGGGTAGGAGCAGCCCGTCCACCACCACTACTACCACGCGTACCACCACCAACACCAGCACCTGCTCCACCATCCTTGTGACCACCCCCACCTCCGCGTTTTCCTTGCCCACCAGAAACACCACCTCCAGTACCTCCTGAGGACTGGTCGGCGCCTCCGCCGGTGCCGCCGCTGGACCCCGATTGATCTGGGTTCGGGTTCGGTTTTGGTTTGGGTGGATTGAGAGGAGGGGGGTCATCGTTGCCGCCATCGGCGATGGCCTGACCACCGGCGTCACCATCATTACCTGGTGGACCACGTGGACCAGGGGACGCCGCTTCTGCTCCATTCGAGGATGTTGTTGGGACTGGTTCTGGTTCTGGTTCTGGTGGTGGTGTCCGTGGCGTCTGTTCTGAGGGTGGGGATGTGCTGTCCTGCTGGTCTGAACTCTCGTGCTTGTCATCAGTGTTATCTGTAATTGCGCATAAGGGCAACAGAGAAGAGTATGCAAGAAAGTGCAGGTCGTGGTCGATGGTTGGCCACAGGATTGACTACACGATTGTTGAGGTGCATCGCTGGATGGTCGGCCACGTGGTGCCACGGGGACGGCGGCAAGCGTTGGGGAGACGGTGGTAGGAGATAGACGGGAGGGTACGAGGACGGTGGTTGGCAGGTGGCACCCCGGGAAAAGACTCTCTTTTTGCCACACACAACACACACAACACACAACACACGCAATGTGTGTGTGTGTGTCGGTCTGCATCTACGTCGACGTCTACATCCTGCGGCCGACCTATCGCTCTGACGCTCTACGTCCCGCTCATTCTCATTCGACGTTTGGTTTCTCTCTGCCCCTCTCTCCGTGCTGTCTCTCACTCTCTCTCCGTGGTGTCTCTCCCGCTGTCTGCGGACATTGTGGATGTCTGTGTGTTGTGTGCTCTTTTTGATTTGGTGGTCGACATGCACGCAGGACACGAGCGGCGTGTGGTACACTCCCTGAAGGCTGTACCTTCCTTGGTCTTGTCTGCCTCCGCCAGGAGTGTTTTGCCTTGTGGTGTCATGCCTAATGCCTCATCCGAGGTAGTCTCACAACTAATGGAGACACCTGTAGATGTGCCGTTGCTGCCGGGACATGTGGCCTTACCTGGGGACTTTGCATCCGAATCCTTAGCCTTCGTGTCTGTCGACGTCCCATGTGTCCCTGCTGGCTGTCCTGCTCCTTCTGGACCTGGTCGTGGCGTGGATGGTCTCCTTGGTGGAGGAGGTGGTGGTGGTGGTCTTGCTGGTAATACTGGAGATGCAGGTGCTTCTACTTGTGATGGGGGAACTACTTGCGGTACATCAGGTGCTGGACTATCGGCCCTTCCAAGTTCTGTTGCTCCTGCTACAGCACCTTTTGTTTGTGGTGGAGTCTGTTGTATTTTGCTTTCTTCATCAGTTTTTGCATTCTTCTTGTCTTCCTTGTTGTCGTGACTATGGTCCCCTTTCTTGTTGCTTTTCTCCGCTGCAAATGAACAAGAAAGGACGCAAGAAAGATGGATGAACAGACGATAACAAAGCGACACACGTGGTACAGAAAGAAGGGGGCCGGGACGGTGTGGTCACGTAGCGCCAGGGTACGGTCCGGCTGCATTCGTCGATTGCATGGATCGATGCATGGATCGATGCAGTGGGTCGAGGTAGGACTGCGATGGACTGGGTGAGGCGGCAGCACGCGTACGGTGAGGTGAACTGCGTACTCGGTGAACTCGGTCGACTGGGTCGGGATGGATGGTAGCAGTACAACTTTTATTTGTTGCCGTCCGCGACCGCTGCCGTGGCCACTCATGTGCGTGCGCTCCGCAACCGCTACCACGGCCGTCGTGGCCGCCGCGTGCGTGTTGTTGTGGTGGCGGCATCCGTATGCGCAGTCGCATCGGGCCGTAGAGAGCGTGCCGTATTGGTGCTTTATCCCATCGGTCTTACCTATCGATCCGTGTGATGTTGCGGCGGCAGTGGCGGCAGGTTTAGAAGCCTGTGGTTGTTCCGTGTTATCGGATTGTGTACTGCTGTGGCGTCCCGAACGTGCCCGTTCCTGCTCCCATGTCTCTATTTCGTCCTTTATTTTGTTTCCACCGTTCTGCGGGTCATTACTCGCCCCGACATCTTCAATTATTTGGTTTACCCTATCTTTCGGTAGGTACTCCTTCTTCTTGATCCACCCCGCCACTGTGTCCAAATCTTCACTCTTGGTTATTTCAATATTTGTCCTTGTTCCATGTTCCTCCCTATCGTGTCCTCCTATCGTCGTCTCTCGGACCTTATGACATGTTTCTCCGCTAATTCCGTGCGTGATCCTAGCCCTGCTGCCTTTCCATTCGGTTATCCATTCGTCCATTGCTGCCCCCATAAGGCGTGTTCCAATTTTTAGTTGCTCAAATGTAACCCAAGCACACTTCTCCCTATTATGCCCAAGTTCAAGGGAGGCCTCCATCATATTCATTATGCTGGAAACATGTGTCGTTATTTCCTTGATTTTACACTGCTTTCCATGTAAGCTCATGAGGGTCCAGGTGCCTATGATGCACCTTAAGTAGTTCCACAGCTTGCGTTCTCCTGGATCCGTACTACTCTGTGCGGTTCCTTTTTTATTCAATCCCTCCATATAATAAAATATTTTGCCGACCTCCATGCATAAGACTTTATTACGTATATCTTTAAGATAATCTGCATTGTATGATTTGTGATCACACATTGTCTGTATCATTGTGTCGTACTTTTTTACATGCACATATGTGCGTAACTCCCAGAACATTCTCTTTATGTCCGTCCATATTTTCTCCTACAATGGAAATAATTGAAGCATGCATGTATACTTTACCACTTCCCTATTTTTGCCCTGCCTATACAGAAGTATACATTGTATACAGTATTCCGCACATACTGCGCTCTAAATGTATGCAACAAGACTAGCCCACATTATCCATATGTGCCCGTATAATTCTATACGTGTGTGTAGTGTTCACCCTGTGCCACACAAATGAGTCTACGTGTTCCTCCCGGGCTCGTAATGGTCACGGCCACTTACGCTAAAATCTTGCCCATGGCCACGGTCTCCCTGTATTGCCCTTTTTACTATATATTCCACCAACAAATTTGTGAACTCTTTTGCACTCATGTTGTTGCGGTTTCCTTTGCACTATTTTATAACATTGCACCGTTGATTAATTTCTCAACATTCCATATATGCCACAGAAACTGCTATACAAGTGCGTTGTGGTGCCTGTTACACTTGTGCTCTGTTGTTCATTAGGAACTTCCTTCCTTAAGATTTAACATTACAAATCTATATGAAACAAAACCTTCATGTGTGCCTTGTGGGCAATCCGATTCTTCCACTAATATTAAAGCATGCAGGACTTCTATATAGGTAATAAGAGAAAAATGCATATATAAAAAGAAAAAGACAGAACAACAGGAAACAAAAAAGGGCAACAACAAAAAAATGTAAAAAAAACAACAAGAAGAATAAAAAAATAATGAAAAAAAAAAAAAAACGACAGGAAAAAATAGGAAAAAAAAAAACAGTTACACTACACTACCGTGCACACACACAACACACGTCATGAAAAGCACGCCCCCGCCCTTTGTACACCGGTCTCCACGAAACGCCTGTCACACACTGTCTCTCTGTGCGTACACCGCAAAACCGCAGTAATAACAACAACATCAATTTCTTCTTCCGTCGTTGCCGTCGTTGCCGCCGTCCTGCCGTCGTTGTCGCCCTGGTTCGCCCTCCCACATAATATGTGTGTTGCGTCCTCCCCGTTCCCCGCTGTCTCTGCTCCCTCTCTGTGATACCCCGCTCTCTGGATCCCTCACTCGAACCGCTTCACGCGGCTACTTCGTCGAATCGTTCTTACACGCGGCCGCGTTGGTCGACGCGTTTGCTCGCAGACACCATCCTCCTCCTTCTTACACGCGGCTACAATGCGGTTTACCCGGGCACGTTTGCTCGGAGAGACAATCTCAATAGACGCGCATGCTTAGTCGCATGCTATATTTGTTCTGCACTATACCCGTAGAATGCACTTGCGCATCTTTTAATAATGAATGTCCCATAAAGGAGAATTCTACCCCGTTCATATTATTCATGTAAATCTACATTTTATATGCATGTGACCTGTACCCACCTGTGCCGAGGGTCATGTTAAATGAAGTGGACTACACAGAAAAAGAACAAAACAAAGCAAAACAAAGCAAAAGTAAGCACAAGTAAGCAGAAGAGAGCAGCCAAAAAAAAAAGAAGAAGGTATAGAATAATGTAAACCAGAAATATATTATGTATATCACATAATGAAGTAAAAGTGGTGTACGGTTAGCATGCGTTATTGCCCATTCATATGCCCCGTCATCTTAATGTCACAATTGCTGCAATAGGGCATCCAAATATAACTCCTTCTCTTGCATACTTCTCTCGATTTCACATTCTTCGATTACGGACGCGAGGAGCAGCATCCACAATTGGGCTATTAGTTGTTTCATGTAAGATTGCGGATGCAGTGATTGCGACCGTGGTACATCTCTCACGTGTAGCATATCTTCTGCGGCCATTGCATTTTCCACTTCTAAGTCTTTTTGGACTACTGATACTTCGCCTTTGTCCGACACTGTCTGGTCCTCTACATTATTCAACAAATGCTTAAACCACTCCTCCGGGCCATACATACTCATTTGCCGATGTTGCTGTGCGACCCATTCTCTCCACAACCGCAGTTTCGTCATGTCTGCGGACGGGATATTACCGGGCGCACCGCGTGCACGCTGCCCGTTGTTGGCGGTAGCCGAATGTTGTTGATAATATTGTTTCCATTCCAATTTGAGGGTGTGAAACCACGGCTGCGTCGTGCACGCCCGCAGAATATGTTTGTTGCGGTCAATCCAGTTAATCCAGTGGGTGCAGTACGACGTCGCGTCACCGTGTTCGGGGTTGGAATGAGCATTCTGTTCTGCATCCAACTGTATGTATTGTATACAACTCCATGGATCGGGGTAGTGTTCAGTCGGTGGACATGGATCTATGCCGTCGGACTCAGTGGGTGCATCGAGCGTGGTCGAATGGCCGGTTGCTAAAGCGTCGTGCGAGGTAGAAACACCCAAGATGTTGTTATTCGTGTCGTCGTGCTGCTCCAAGTCATGTGCAAACTCCTGCACGAGTATCTGCCAATAGTCGTCTTTGACGTTTTCCCATGCGGTTTCTTCACACTCGTTGAGCACTTCTAGATGTAGCTCGATGATGGTGCGCTTATGCACGCGTGGTGGGCGTGCTCTACCGGATGTTGACGCAGGTGGCGTAACCATCGTGTACCCGTAATCGGGTGGCGGTAGTTCGCCGCGTTGTAGATGTTGCAATATGTCTTCGTCGAGTGGCGGTGACGGCACGTCACGTATAGTTCGATATGTTCGTCGTCGTTTGGCGAGGTACGCAAAGTACTAAGCAGAAAAAGGGGGTATAGAGGAGAGTGAGGACGCTAGGATAAAAGGAATGAACGAGGGTGTAGGGGCATATTGGTTCGAGCGATCATATATTGGAGCCGGTTGGGATGTTCTGAGATGTAAACATCCTGCAAATGCGGCATGCCCGCATTGTCGTATATACTTACCTTCCAAAGGGAATAACCAAGAAGGGCAACGGTGACGAAAATGAGAAAAAACAGGATGGGAGTAGTGGCGGTAAGGACGGTGTCGGTTAGGTCAGGAACATCTGGGATGGGGCTGACTGTTGAGGTCTCTTCAGTGTTTCCCTTGTGATCTATATATGGTGGTTTACTGGACGCATATCCACCACCAGGATTACCCTGTGTGAAGATACCAGGGCTATTCAGAAGGAGACCGGTAAAATCTTCCGTGGGAGCTGTAGTCTTACCAGTACCATCTGTGGTAACCTTGTTCTCACTAGAAGAGGCCTCTCTTGATGGGTTCCTCGCCTGCGCAGTACCCGAATTAGAGGAGGAGGTGCACCCGCCTTTACTATATTCTGTATCAGTGCTGTCAAGTAGGCACAAGGTGCCTGATGTTGTTTTGAAATCTCCGAACATTGTTGTATCACCTAAGTTAGGTTGATTGGTTGCACGTGTGTGCCCAGTAGCAGCAGTAGTTTCACCATCTTGCAAATTTGTCGTTCCTGGCTCTGAACGCGAGTCTGAGGCTGACGGAGTGATCGTATCTGTTGTTCCTTCCGTGGTAACTTGTACTGCGGGTTCCTCGATTGTAGCTTTAGGATTAGCTGCACATAGAAAATATGGCAGAAAGAAGAAGAAGAGCATGATGAAACTGACGTTTTCAGCGGTGGTTGTTGATTGACTACCGTTGACCACATGGTCGGCAACCGATGGTCTGCACCACGGTGCGCACGATGATTACGGTGCCACCCCGGGAAAAGACAGTCTCTCTCTGCCACACACAACACAACACACACAACACACACAACACACAGACACCGTGTGTGTGTCTGTCTGTCGACGTCTCTCTACGTCGACGTCTACTCGCCCGCGGCCGACGGATCGCGTGGCCGCTGTTTCTCATTCGACGTTTGGTTTCTCTCTCTCCGTGTTGTCTCGCCCTCTGTCTCCGGAAAATTTTTGTTTCGTTGTTGTTTTTTTGTTCTCTCTTTCTTTGTTCTCATCGGACTCACTACCTGGGGTACCACTTCCTGAGCAACCAGACGTCGGATCCGTGTTAGTGAAGGAAATGCTCAGACGTACTGTGTGCTTGCCAGCGTACATACTATGTGTGCTCTCTTCATTTATATTAGTGACACATGCTGTCCCTGATTTCTTACCTTCTGTCTGAGGTGTTCCCGATGGTGCTGCCGTTGACCCTGTTCCTGCATTGCCAGTACTTCCCGTACCTGCACCCGTTCCAGTACTGGTACTGTCTATACCGGATGCGGTTCCTGTCGTCCCGTGGTCTGGTGCCCGTGGTGGTGGTGTAGGAGGTGGGGGTTGTTGTCCCGGTCCTGGTCCTTGGCCGACTGCTCCTGATCCTGCTGCGGCCGGTGCGGCTGATGCGGGTGCAGCCGGTGGTGCCGCTGCTGGTACCGCGTCCTCAGCTGCTGAGTCATCTATTCTTGCTACTTCTGCTGCCCCGGGTGACGGTAACGAAGCTGTGTCCTCCTTCGTCGTTGTCTGGTCTGCGCGGGACCCCTCTGTCTTCGGTGCCGCCTCCTTCGCTGCAATAACAAAGGAAAGAAGTGTAGATGATAAAAAAAAAAGGGACACAAGTGGTACAGAACGACGGGGCGCGAGGGTTCGATCAGGTAGCGGCAGGGTAGGGGCGGGACGGTGTTAGCGAGAGAGCACGTTGTTAGAAGAGGACAAAGACAGGAAGAAAGGGGGGCGCACTCGTTGAACTGGGTGAGGCGGCAGCAAGCGTACGGCGAGGTGGTATGGCAACATTACACTGCTTTTGTCGCCGTCATCTCGCTGCCGCTGCATCCGTCGTCCCGTGCCTCGTCCTGTGCCTTGTCACCGCTACAGTTGCCGTCGTGGTCGCCGCTCATCGCACAACCAAAGTGGGGCGGCTGCCTCATGGCGGCTGTGCTGTTGTGGCCGCATGTGCGTTGTTGTTGTGGTGATGGCGGCATCCATACGGTCCCTAGAGGGCCATAGTCGGTATCGGCCGTATGTTCGTATTCCTACGGGTCGTATATACGTATTCTTACGAGTCGTATTCGTACCTGCCAGTTGTGTTATTTTCTTTTCTACTGCTTCCTTCGCCTTATCAAACACCTTCGTTGCTTTCTTTACTATGTCCTTCTTTATATCCTGCATTTTTGCCTTCCCTGTTTCGTTCAAAAGTTTGTCCATAGGGTCGCGTGGTGACGCCCCTGCCTCAATATACTCTTGCCAATACTTCTCACAGGGCATTTTCTTCTCCATTTGCGTTATTTCTCCCAATATGCCTCCTTCCTTCATTAGCCAGTATGCAATTTTCAAATCTACTGCTTCCACATTCCTTTTATGACCTACATATCCACACATTGTGCACCTCTTGTCCGTAACAGGCCCAGGTGGCAGTCCCTTTCCTAATTTCTCATCCCCCATGTTCTGGAATGTTTCCCAAGCATACTCTATACCTCTATACCATGTTTGCCTTCCTTTGCAGTACATATTTTTGAGCAGATGACCGAAGACTTGGACGACCTCACACCTTAGCTTTTCCTCCGTTTCATCCATGGATGTACTTCCTCCTTGCGCATTTGTCTGCTGTACGTTATCACCATTAGCAAACCACAACGCACCGGACATGAGTCGACACCTCATCATGTCCGCTACTCTTTGTTCCTTATATAGGTTACCATCACCGAAATCATTCCAACCTTTATTATCGCAATTGGCACCGAGTCCGTCAAAGTCATGATCATGTTGCTCCAAGTACTCCATAAACTCCTGCAATACCTTCTTCACCCGGTCCCAGTCAGCATCCTACATGTTGTACAAGAACACGGAGGTGAGTACTGATGTGTCCATGTCACGAACTCTCCTTCCTCTTGAACATATGTACACCCTTACATGTATGCATGTAGGCTTATGAATGAATTCACGTCGCCGTCCAGTCCCCGTACTCAGCGTTGTGTGCATTTCCCAGCATATCCTACTGTAACTTACACTATATGGAAGCACCACATATTTTTCCGGAGGCCTCCACTCCAATAATTTGTCTCCCTGACATTCCGTTGCTGTGGCAGCTGCGGTACCGATCGCCTGCGTGCCCCCTGCGCCTGACGGTGCCGGTTTCGCCGCTACTGGTTTGGCGGGTGACTTCGGTTTGTTGCCGGCTGCGTTGTCGACAGGTGGTGGTGCTGGTTTGGCAGGGGCGGGTTGGGCGCCTGGACGCGGTCCACTGTTTGCTCCTGATGTATCTGATGCTCCTGGCCCATTTGACTGTCCGTGTTCTTTTCCTGTGTGCACATTCGAAGGGGACTGCGTCCCCTTATTGTTGCTCTTCGCGTCTGCTGCCGCTTTCTTTGCCTTTAATAAGTTCTTTACACAATCCTTATCCCCTGCAGTACATGTTTTCACGGCTGTTATTATTTCCGGCACCGTCTTCCCTAAATCCTGCTCCACATTCTTTATTTCTTCCTGGACTGTGTCCTTCAACGCCTGCCTTGTGTCGCCATCCCGTACTTTCGCTTTGGATCCCGTTTGCACCCTACACCCGTCCCCCAACACTCCCCAATCCCCATCTCCTGCTGTCAGTCTATTGTTTTCATGCCATCTTTTCATTACTTCCCACAAATCTCTATCCTTTTCACCTCTTCCAGTGCCATCTCCCCCTATCCCTGCATCCTTCCACTCACACTCCACATTACCTACCTGTTGTTTGAGAACGCTCTGTATTTCGCCATGAACAAGATTGAAAGCAAACTGGCCACCAGGTCCCGATAAACACTGCATGCCCATTATTTTTTTCATAAATATATTTGTCAGGATGCACCTCATATAGAGGTCTATCTGCTTTTCGTCGTTTGTCTTGTATTCCCGGTTCATAGGGGCCCCCGTTGCACGCATGCCATGTTTAAAGCGTAACGCTATAAGCGCCATCTCGCATATACCCATGTCCTCAGCAGTCCACCCGCGCCCAGTCATGGCATCGCGCCCTGCCTGGCACAATTCACTGAGTATATCATAGTCGGCCTGCTCCATGAATTCCTTAAATTCTGTCCATACTGTCTGCACATTTTGCCAGAAAAGTTCCTGTAAGTATAAGATACATTGCACGCTTTTGTATAAACCACATTCGTTCGTTCACAGTTCTCCATTGTAAAATCCTGTATGTAACTACACTGCTTCCTCCTATACACATATGTCTCTCCGGAACGACCGATACCTCCTTACAGAATGGACGCATATATGCTCATCGAGTAGGCTATAATTTTATTATACAACTCATTCTATGTATAATAATTCCTCCTACTACTCACTCCTTTACACATATGAACGTACCCTAAATCTTTGATCTTCCTGCACTCCTATTTTTTCTCTTCCCTGCTGAATATAATTGTTCCATAGTAATATTAAATAGTTCCACATGGCTTCCTCCCTTGTGGTCCTTCTTATATAGGATAGCACTCTGCTTGATAATTATTCAAAGTTCACTTTAATTGAACATTACACTTCGTAATCATATTCCTCTAATAGAAACTTATACTCCTACGTACCCAGAATATTATGCTCCTTGTGCATTAAAATCATTAACAAAAACGCCACTTAACACAAAAAACCTCTGTACCAAGAATACCCCCTTAACAACAAATACCCTCTTCACGCTGTGTCTCGCTGTGCGTACACCTAAAACCGAACAACAACAACATCAATTCTTCGTGCCGTCGTTGCCGCCGTCGTTGCTGCCGTGCGTCGCGCGTTGTTCGCGTTCCCACAAAATATGTGTGTTCCTTCGCTCTCCGCCCCCGCACGCTATGCTCCCTCTCTGTGATCCCCCTGTCGCTGGATGCTTTACGCGAACAAACCTTACCCGGCCACTTCGTCGAATACCCCTTACTCGGCCACGTTTGCTCGGACAGACAATCTCTCCGCCGTTGCTTACACTCGGCGGCAATGTGCTTTACCCGGCCGCGTTGTGCGACGCGTTTGCTCGGAGAGACAATGTGTACCTTCTTACACTCGTCTACTTCGTCGAATCGGCCACGTTTGCTCGGAGAGACAATGTGTACCTTCTTACACTAGGCTACTTCGTCGAATCGTTTACTCGAACGCCGTAATCGAACCGCGTCACGGGGCTACTTGGTCGAATATTTCTTACATTCGGCCGCGGTGGTCGACGCGTTTGCTCGGAGAGACAATGCCCTGCTTCTGACACTCGACGAGAATGCGTGTATGCGGCCGCGTTTGCTCGGAGAGACAGTGTCCTGACACTCGAATGCGTATGCGCATGCTATATTTGTTCTGCACTATACTCGTAGCATGCACTTGCTCATCTTTTAATAAATAATTTCCCATAAAGGAGAATTCTACCGCTTCATATTATTCATTTAAATCTACATTTTATATGCATTTGACCTGTAGCACCCTGTCCCCATAGTTATATTAATAGAAGTTGACTACACAGAAACAGAACAAAACAAAGCAAAAGTAAGCACAAGTACGCAGAACAGAGCAGAAAAAAAAAAAAGAAGGTATGGAATAATGTAAACCCTAAATATACTATGTATATCACATAATGAAGTAAAAGTGGTCTACCGTTAGCATGCGTTATGCCCCATGCATGAGCGCCGTCATCCGAATGTCAGATCTTGGCCAATAGGTCATCTACATATAACTCCTTCTCCTGCAAACGGCTTTCAAGCTCGCATTGTTCGATTACGAACGCGAGAAGGAGCATCCACAATTGGGCAGTTAACGGTTTTGTCATGTAAGGTTGCGGATGCAGTGGTTGCGTGCGTGGTATATCTCTCACGCTTAGTATGTCTGCGGCTGCTGTTACTATTTGCATGTTTAAGTCTGTGTCGACGGCAGGTACGTCGCCTTTTGCCGGCACTGTCTCCTCCTGTACAGTATTCAACAAATGCCTAAACCAATCTTTTTCGATATACTTTGCCATGTCGTTATGTTGCTTCACGACCCACTGTTTCCAGGCATCTTTTTTCATTTCCACACATCCAATACTTCTTTGTTCACTGAGTTCACGATGCACGTTGTCGTCGTTTGGCGCATGTTGACGCAGGTATTGTGTCCATTCCAACTTTAGTTGCAAAAACCACTGCTGTGTCGTGCAGTCCTGCAATAGGTGCTTGTTGCGGTCAATCCAAGGGATGCATTGGGTGCAGTCCGACGGCGCGTCCCCAGGGTGGGAATGGACATTCCGCTGTTGTTTTTCGGGATGTATGGTTTCCATACAACGCCATGGATCGGGGTCCTCTTCGTCAGGTGGAGAAGTGTCCGTTGCTAACTGTACAGGTTCCATACAACTCCATGGATCGGGGTCATCTGCGTTAGGTGGAGCACGCTCCCGTGCGAACTGTATGGTTTCCATACAACTCCATGGATCGGGGTCATCTTCGTTAGGTGGACATGGATCGTGGCCGTCGGAGTCAATGGGTGGATCCAGGGTGGATGGAACATGGTTTCCTAGTAAACCATGGTCTGCGGTAGACACACCCACGATATTGTTATTCGTTTCCTGGTCCCGCATCAAATCCTGCGCAAACTCCTGTGCAAACTGCTCCACGACAATCTGCAAATAGTCGTCTTTGGCGTTTTCCCATTCTGTTGCTTCACATTCGTGGAGCACTTCTAGATGTAGCTCGATAATCGTGCGCGTATGCACGCGTGGCGAGCGTCGTCGTCGGGCGGATGTTGACGCAGGTTGCCTATCCCTAACCATCGTGTAGTCGTAATCGGGTGGCGGCAGGTCGCCGCGTTGTAGATGCTCTAGAATGTCTTCGTCGAGTGGCGGTGACGGAACGTCACGAACGGTGCGATATGTTCGTCGTCGTTTGGCGAGGTACGCAAAGTACTAAGCAAAAAAAGGGGGTAAAGAGGAGGGTGAGGACGGTAGGATAAAAGGAATGAACACGGGTGTAGGGGCATATTGGTTAGAAAGATCATATATTGCAGCCCGTAGGGAGTTTCTGCGGTATAAACATCCTGCACATGCGACATTCCGGGATTGCCGTATATACTTACCTTCCATAGGAAAAAGGCAATGATCGCAGTACCAACCACCGCGGGAAGGAGCGCGGGGGTATAGGGGATGAGATCCTTGGGGTCGAAGGGTTTCGAACGGAGAAGGGGAACAAGTGGGGGTGCGTCATTAGGTTTTTGAGTGGGGCCACCGGGAGTATTGGACACACCTCCCCCTGGAACGTGCCCTGAACCGCTCTGTGTGACAACTGCTGGGATTTCTCCGTGGTTGGGATCCTGTGCGCCGCCTGGGGGTAAGGATGCACTTGGGTCACCGCCGCCCGGACTGGCAATATCCTGGCTGCCAGGTGGACTACCTGGAGCCACAGCACCTCCTCCACCACGTTCATAACTGCGTGTACTTTGACCGTCTGGTGCACGCCCAGTACTGGTCGGCCCGCTGGGGCTGCTGCTCCCCGATTGTTCTGGGTTCGGGTGCGGTTTGGGTTTGGGTGGATTGAGAGGAGGGGGGTCATCATTGCCGCCATCGACGACGGCATCCTGACCGCTGCTGTCGGCTTCGCCAGCGGTAGCTGTGGGACCGGGCGGGCCGGCGGGAGTCGCTGCCCGTGTTGCCTCTGTAGAAGGTGTCTGCGTGGACGTGGATGTAGGACCCGATGACGGCGGTCCTGCTGCTGCCTGCGGTACCGTCTGCTCGGTGGACTCTGTATTCGTAGGGGCACTGAGACCTGTAAATTGAAGGAGCGAACAGAACATAGAAGGAAACGGAAGTTGTTCTGGGATGCATGGTTGCCGATGGTTAGTCCTGCGGTCAGCGGACCACGGTCGGTTGACTGCGGTTGTCCCTCGTTTCACGACATCACCGGCGCTGGATGGTTGACTACGCGGTCGGCACCATTGGTGCCACGGGGACGGCAGGCATCGGGGCATGAGACGGGCAGGAACGTGGGACCGGGGAAGCAGACGGACGCGGTCCCGGGGGCAGGGTGCCACCCCGGGAAAAGACTCTCTCTGTCTCCCACACAACACACACAACACAGACAGTGTGTGTGTCGACATCTATACGTCGCTCTACCGGCCGCTACATCCAGCGGCCAACCCGCGGCGGCTTACGCTCCCCCGCGCCCGACCCATCACTCTGCCGCTCTGCGTCGCGCTCATTCTCATTCGACGTTTGGTTTCTCTCGCTCTCCGTGTTCTCTCTCCCTCTCTCCGGAAAAGTTGTATGTGTGTTTTGTGTTCTCTGTGTTTTTGTTGTGGATATGCACTCAGGACAATACCTGCTTCTGTGTCTTTGGACTTCTGGTCACAGTCATCATGAGTTCCGGAACTCGTGCCAAAAGTGATAGTGGTAATGGATTTAGCACCGGCGAGACCTTCGCCTGCATTTACGACTGTGGCAGACTGTGCTGGCTTTGAGCACCTATCTGTACTGTGCGTTTCCTTGCCGCCCTGAGTAGTCGGGTCCTGAGGTGGTGACGGTGGAGGAGGTGCCTGTGGTCTTGCTGGTAATACTGCAGATGCCGGTGCTTGTGGTTGCGATGGCGGCAATGACCTGCCTCCTGCGGGATCCCCGAGTTCGCGTCCTGCACTTGGTTTACCTAAGATGGGGAACCCAAGAAACATGGTAGAACGATGATAAAAAAAAAAAAGGGACACAAGTGGTAGACAGAAAGAAGGGGCGCGAGACGGTGGGGTCAGGTAGCGGCCGGGTACGGTCCGGCTCGATGCAGTGGGTCGATGCATGGGTCGCGGTGCACTCGGTGGACACGGTGACGCGGCAGCAAGCGCACGGTCAGTTGAACTGTGTGGACGGATGATAGCAGTACACTTATATTTGTGGCCGTCATGTCGTCCGTCTCCGGCCTTCGACACCGCTCCATGCGGTTCCGCCGCGCACACCTCGTCTACACTCGTGGCCGCACCACAGTGACGCCGCTCCCGTCGTGACTGCACACGTCAGCGAAGTCGTTTGCTGTTCTCGCCGCGCGTGCGTGGTTTTGTGGCGGCATCCATATTGAGCAATACGTTACGTAGCGGGTCGTATTGGTGCTTTCTCCCATCGGTCCTTACCTTTCGGTCCCTGTGGTTGTGTGCCGGTTGCGTGTATGGAGGCGCTAGGATCTGTAAACAATGGCAAAAAGTTGTAGGGAATGCGTAGGTTATGTTGTGCTCAGGGACCTAGAATCCAGGAAGGTCTTTTGATATGGTGTTGCGTTCTCCTCGTCTTGTGTTTTCATCCCTTCCTACTTTATCCGTTCCCGTCGCACTGCTCTGTGCTTGTTTCCCCGTCCTTACCTGGCACCTGAATGTTCCCTCCGTCGCCGTGGTGCTTGGTTTCTATTTGACGCATTACCTCGTCCAGTACACTGGTCGCTGTTCCTTTATCCTTCGCTGCCTGCATTATTCTTCTTCTCTGGGATTCCGTTATTTTCGCCTCTTTGTGTATTAATCCCGCTACCTCTCTTGCAGTGCCGTCCTGGAACAGTTTCACTACATGCGCGTCTTCACTATCTGTCTTCGCTCTCGCCTTCGTTATACTTGTTGGTGCAGCACAGGAGGTCTGTGCTCGGGACCCACCTAACCCTCCAACGGATGTTAGTCTCCACCTATTTATCCATTCACCCATCGTTCCGGCCACAAACTTCGTGCCAATGCTCAGGCTATCATAATCAAGGCCCTGACATTGTTGGCTATTAGTGTGCCCCGCAAGTGCTTTACTTATTGTACTCATGTGCCTGGACACCTTATTTATAATGTCCTTTGCTGCACAGTTCTTCTCAAATAACTTTATTAATGTCACATTCCCTACCACACATTTGAAATAGTCCCTCCAGCTCTTCTGCTCGGCATTTAGTTCTGTCCCACCCGTGACTACTTCTGCCGTGCCATCCATGTATACAAATATTTTCACGATGTACCGGCATATCAGCCTCTGTACTACAGACTCCTTGGCTTTCCCATAGAGTGCCTGGCACACCGCATTTTCTATAGTAGTCTTGACTCTCAATGTAGCAGTCAGCTCCGTGAATAGTTTTTCTATGTCGTCCCAGAGCATATCCTGTAAATATAACAACACATGTCCACAAATATACACACTGTGTACCTGTGCCTTTCCTGACTGTTCCTAACACAGAATCAATGCTATTCTCCTGACATATATGGTTCACTGTGGTGAATGAGCAACATGACTTTATAATGCATGAATACTCATCGTGCTCCCAAAATAAATTTTAGACTTCTCTTTGTATACAATGACCACTATACACTGAATTATCCTAGTCGCTCTGTATAATCACTTACACTGAATTCACTCTTCCTTCCTGGGCCTTCTCCCTTATCAGATGCTATTTGTCTCTGTTGTACATACTCCACCAAGACTTCTACCAATTTTTCAGCCATGATATTATTGCTATGCTCATATATAATTCCACTTCTGCTGATATTACCATGACGTCATACTAACCCAATACGTGCGTACATATGTTAATATTGCATATATTCAGTCTTCACCGTATGCGGACTGAGAACATATGCACACAGTAGGTTGTTAATATGCCGTTGGACACGTAGCCGCTGATTCTAGTATTCCACCATGAATTGGACATAGTACTAACAGACAGATAAACATAAAGTAAAAAAAGGAAAAAAAAAAAAAGAACGAAAAAAAAAAGACAGGAAAAAATAGGAATATACTACACACCGTCATGAATACACCCCTTAAAAACAACACCCCTTCTCCACTAAACGCCTTCACACACCATCTCTCTGCGTACACTAAACCCCTTGTACACTAAAACCGCAGTAGCGACAACAACATCAACTTGTGCTCCCGTCGTTGCCGTCGTTGCCGTCGTTGTCGCCCTGGTTCGCCTGCCCACATAATATGTGTGTTCCTTCCTCCGTCCCCCCCGCTGCTCGTTGCTCCCTCACTGAATCCCTCAATGGAAATCCTTCCCTCGAACCCCTTACTCGGCCACTTCGTCGAATGCGTCTTACACTCGGCTACTTCGTTGAATCGTGCTTACACGCGGCTACGGCGGTCGACGCGGTTGCTCGGACAGACAATCTCTCCCTCCTTTCTTACACTCGGCCACTACGTCGAATCGGTGTTGCACGTGGCCACAATGCGCGTTTACCCGGCCGCGTTGCTCGACGCGTGTGCTCGGAGAGACCATCTCTCCTCCGTTCTTACACTCGGCTACAATGCGGTGTACGCGGCCGCGTTACTCGACGAGTTTGCTCGGAGAGACAATCTGCTGGTTGTGACAGTCGGCTACCTCGTCGACAATGTGCTTTACCCGGCCGCGTTTGCTCGGAGAGGCAATCTCTCCTCCTTTCGTACACTCGACGACAGTGCTTTACGCTGCCTCGTTTGCTCGGAGAGACAATGTGTACCTTCTTACACGCGGCTACGGCGGTCGACGCGTGTGCTCGGAGAGACAATCTCCTCGTTCATGCACTCGGCTACTTCGCAGAACCCCTTCTTACACGCGGTCGCGTTACTCGGCTACAATGCGGTTTGCGCGGCCTGCGTGTGCTCAGAGAGACAATCGCTCCTTATACTGGAATGCGTATGCGCATGCTATATTTGTGCTGCACTATACCCGTAGAATGCACTTGCTCAGCTTTTAATAATGAACTGCACATAAAGGAGAATACTACCCCTTGATATTATTCATTTAAATCTACATTTTATATGCATTGGACCTGTAGCACCCTGTTCCTATGGTCATGTTAAAAGAAGTTGACTACAGAGAAAAAGAACAAAACAAGGCAAAAGGCAGCACAAGTAAGCAGAAGAGAGCAGAAAAAAAAAAAGGAAGGTATAGAATAATGTAAACCCGAAATATATTATGTGTATCACATAATGAAATAAAAGTGGTCTACGGTCAGCATGCGTTATGTCGCATGCATATGCCCCGTCATACTAATGTGAACACTGTTGCAATAGGGCATCCACATGTAACTCCGTCTGCTGCAAACGACATTCGAGCTCGCACTGTTCTATGACTAATGCCAGGATGAGTATCCATGTTTTAGCGGTTAACCGTTTTTGCATGTAAGGTTGCGTATGCAGTTGCGTGCGCGGTACATGCGTCACTCGTAGCATGTGTTCTGTGCCCATTACTTTGTCCACTTCTAAGTGTTTTTCTACTCGTGGTACTTCGCCTTTTTGCGATACTGTCGCCTCCTCTACATTATTCAACAAATGTTTACACCACTCCTGCTTCCTATGTACACTCATTTGCCGATGTTGTTGCGCTACCCATTCTTTCCATGCGTCAAGCTTGTTTATCTGCGGGGTTGCCGATTCACCGAGTTCACGCTGCCCGGATACTCCGTTGTCCTCCTCTGCCACCATGTGCTCGCGCAGGTATTGTTTCCAATCCGCTTTTAATTGCAAAAACCATGCCTGTGCCGTGCACTCCCGCAAAAGGTGCTTGTTGCGGTCAATCCAGTTAATCCAATTAGTGCACGCCGCCGTCGCGTCACCGTGGTCGGAATGAGCACGACTCTGTTCTGAATCTAACTGTATGGTGTCCATACAACTCCATGGATCGTGTTCATTCGGTGGAGAACTGTCCCGTTCTAACTGTATGGTTTCCATACAACTCCATGGATCGGGGTCATCTTCGTTAAGTGGACATGAATCCAGGGTTGTCGAATCCTTGGTTGGTGAATCCCGGTTCGAAGAAGAAGCCGGGGAACTACTATGCCCATGGCCGTCCCCCATAAACTCTTCAACGAGTATTTGCAAATAGTCGTCTTTGACGCTTTCCCATTCGGCCGCGTCACATTCGTTGAGCACTTCTAGATGTAGGTCGATGATCGTGCGGCGATTCACGCGTGGTTGACGTCGTCCGCGGCGTTCGGCAGCAGACGCAGGTGGCCTATCCCTACTCATCGTGTAGCCGTAATCGGGTGGTGGCAGTTCGCCGCGTTGTAGATGGTCTAGAATGGCTTCGTCGAGTGGCGGTGACGGCACGTCACGAACGGTGCGATACGTTCGTCGTCGTTTGGCGAGGTACGCAAAGTACTAAGCACAGAACAAGGGGGTAAAGAGGAGGGTGAGGACGGTAGGATAAAAGGAATGAACGCGCGTGTAGGGGCATATTGGTTAGAAAGATCATATATGGGAGCCGGTTGGGATGTTCTGCGGTCTAAACATCCGGCACATGCGGCATGCCCGCATTGTCGTATATACTTACCTTCCAGAGGAAAAAGGCAATGAGCCCAATACCAACCACCGCGGGAATGATCGCAGGGGTATAGGGGACAAGATCCTTGGGGTCGAAGGGTTTCGATGGAGGGGTCGGAGGTGGTAGTGTAGTAGGGGGTCCTGCTGCTGGACCCGATGTACCACCTGATGGACTAACTGTCCCACTGGATGGCTCGTGTGGTGTGGTACCGGAGGAACCTGATTGCGCAACGCCGGTGGAGCCAGGACCGGAGGAAGCAGGGTTTTGGTCACCGTTAGAACCGGGTCCTGAGGATGAGGAAATGCCACTTCCTCCCCCACCTCCGCCACTTCCACCTGCAGTACCTGCTGCGGGCGGTTGGCCGCCGCCGCCGCTGCCACTACTACCCGATTGATCTGGGTTCGGATTCGGTTTTGGTTTGGGTGGATTGAGAGGAGGGGGGTCATCGTTACCGACGGCGACGCCCTGACCAGCGGGTTCCGCAGTGCTGTCGTCCACAGAATGTACCGGTGCTTGTGAACCTGGTACTGCATCTACGGGATCTGTCTGTGTTGGTGGTGCCCCTGATGTTGATGATGATATTGTAGTAACCACATCCGGCGTCGAACCCTTGTCTGGATCCTGCCCCATAGTGGAGACAGGGGTAAGTGGCTGGGATTCCGGTGCGGCGGGTGCTGCTCCTGCAACCGCTGATGAACCGTGGCCGTCCTTAGATGTCGTGTGCTCTGTAGCACTGCCACCTGTAAGATCAAGGTCAGGTGAAAGAAAGAATGTCATGAAACTGAAGTTTTCTACGGTGCATGCCCACACGGTTGGCACCATTGGTGCCACGGGGCAAGAGACGGACGGCGGCATGGTTCACGAGGGTATGGGGGCCCGGTGCGAACGGTGGTTGGCTGGTGCCACCCCGGGAAAAGACTCTCTCTGTCTCTCCCACACACAACACACACACAACACACAGACAGTGTGTGTCTGTCTGTCTGCTTCGACGTCTACGTGTACATCGCGCGGCCGACCCGTCGCTTGGCCGATCGCGCTGCCGCGCACTCTCATTCGACGTTTGGTTTCTCTCGCGCCGTGTTGTCTCTCCCTCTCTCTCCGGAAATTGTTGTTTCTTGTTTTTGTTTTTTTTTTTCTCTCTCTTTTTTGTTCTTCGTTTAATAGTACACGCGGCGTACGCTGACACAGTGTGAAAGCTCAGTAGTATGCTCATGTGAAACAATGTTACCTGTGTCTGAACATTCGGGCGTGGTGACGGCAACAGTGAAAGATACTGAGGAGCCACCTGTACCTCCTCTGGAGTCATCAATGGGATCAGCATATTGCCCGCGGCCTGATTGCCCTGCGTGGGACTCGGTCACATGCTTGGTACATTCAGCTTTCTTACCTTGAGTCTCTCCTTTCTCGTTATTGGTAACAGTGGCCTGTGGCGTCTGCGCCTCCGCTCCTGACTTGTTTGTGGGTGTTGTGGATCCTCCTGTACTGGATGCTGCTCCCTGTTCCCCTTTAGGTGCTGCAGGACGTGCCGGTTCTGGTGGTGGTGGAGGTGGTGGGGGTTGTTGTCCCGGTCCTGGTGCTTGACCTGGTCCTTGCCCGCCTGCTCCTGATCCTGCTGCGGCCGGCTGTCCTTCCCCAGCCGAGGAATCTGATCGTGGTTGTCCGGAAGATGTTCCTGTTCCTGATGTGCCTGCTGCTGATGGTGCCGAGGGCTTCGCCCCGTTCTTGTCTCCTCCTCCCCCTGTTACCGGTTTTGTGGTTGCTGGTTTGGTAGCCGCAGGTTTGTCGGCTTGTGGTGTGCGTGCGTCCTGCTTCGTTGCTGCAATGAGGACAACGGAACAAAGGTGGTAGAAAGATGGATGCGAAAGATGATAAAAAAAAAAAGGATACAAGTGGTACAGAAAGAAGGCGCGAGACGGTTGGGTCATGTAGCGGCAGGGTACGGTCCGGCTCGATGCAGTGGGTCGAGATGGACTCGGTGGACTGCGTACTCGGTGGCCTGGGTCAGGCGACAGCAAGCGTACGGTGAGGTGGACTGCGTACTCGGTGGACGGAGGTGATAGCAGTACACTTGTATGTGTTGTCGCCGTCACGCTCCGTCATCTCGTCTCCGGTGCCGTGGCTGGCGCTCCATCACGCGTCGCCGCCGCAACCGCTACCAATGCCGTCGTGGCCGCCGCACTCGTCGCCGCTACACAGTGG